CATCTGTATGTCTTCTTTGGAGAAATCTCTGTTTAATTCTTTGGCCCATTTTTTGATTGGGTCATTTATTTTTCTGGAATTGAGCTGCTTGAGCTGCTTGTATATCTTTGAGATTAATTCTTTGTCAGTTGCTTTGTTTGCTATTATTTTCTCCCATTCTGAAGGCTGTCTTTGCACCTTGCTTATAGTTTCCTTCATTGTGCAAAAACTTTTAAGTTTAATTAGGTCCCATTTTTAAATTTTTGCTTTTATTTCCACTACTCTGGGAGGTGGTCATAGAGGATCCTGCTGTGATTTATGTCAGAGAGTGTTTTGCCTATGTTTTCCTCTAGGAGTTCTATAGTTTCTGGTCTGATATTTAGATCTTTAATCCATTTTGAGTTCATTTTTGTGTATGGTGTTAGAAAGTGTTCTAGTTTCATTCTTTTACAAGTGGTTGACCAGTTTTCCCAGTACCACTTGTTAAAGAGTTTGTCTTTTCTCCATTGTATATTCTTGCCTCCTTTATCAGAGATAAGGTGTCCATAGGTACATGGATTTATCTCTGGGCTTTCTATTTTGTTCTTTTGATCTATATTTCTGTCTTTGTGCCAGTACCATACTGTCTTGATGACTGTAGCTTTGTGGTATCGTCTGAAGTCAGGTTGATTCCTCCAGTTCCATTTTTCATTCTCAAGATTGCTTTGGCTATTCGAGTTTTTTTCTTTTCTTTTCTTTTCTTTTTTTTTGGTATTTCCACACAAATTGTGAAATTATTTGTTCTAGTTCTCTGAAAAATATAGTTGATAGTTTGATAGAGATTACATTGAATCTATAGACTGCTTTGGGTAGTTATACTCATTTTCACTGTATTGATTCTTCTGATCCATGAACATGGTATATTTCTCCATCTATTTGTGTCCTCTTTGATTTCTTTCATCAGTGTTTTATAGTTTTCTATATATAGGCCTTTTGTTTCTTTAGGTAGATTTATTCCTAAGTATTTTATTGTTTTCATTGCAATGGTGGATGGAATTGTTTCCTTAATTTCTCTTTCTGTTTTCTCATTGTTAGTGTATAGGATTGCAAGGGATTTCTGTGTGTTAATTTTATATCCTGCAACTTTACTATATTTGTTGATTAGCTCTAGTAATTTTCTGGTGGTGTCTTTAGGGTTTTCTATAAAGAGGATCATGTCATCTGCAAACAGTGAGAGTTTTACTTCTTCTTTTCCAATATGGATTCCTTTTATTTCTTTTTCTCCTCTGATTGCTGTGGCTAATACTTCTAAAACTATGTTGAATAGTAGTAGTGAGAATGGGCACCCTTATCTTGTTCCTGACTTTAGGGGGAATGCTTTCAATTTTTCACCATTGAGGATGTTTGCTGTGAGTTTATCATATATGGCTTTTATTATGCTAAGGTATGTTCCTTCCATGCCTGCTTTCTGGAGAGTTTTTATCATAAGTGGATGTTGAATTTTGTCAAAGGCTTTCTCTGCCTCTATTGAGATAATTATATGGTTTTTATCTTTCAATTTGTTAATGTCGTGTGTCACATTGATTGATTTGTAAATACTGAAGAATCCTTGCATCCCTGGGATAAAGCCCAATTGGTCATGATGGCAATCTGACTTACTTATGAAGAGGACCATTCTGGAAGCTGTGTGGAAAATAAAATGGAAGGATTAACATGAAGCTGAGTGACCTATGGAAAAGTGAAAGTGAAAGTCACTCAGTCATGTCTGACTCTTTGCAACTCCATGGACTGTATAGTCCATGGAATTCTCCAAGCCAGGATACTGGAGTGGGTAGCCTTTCCCTTCCCCAGGAGATCTTCCCAACCCAGGCACCAAACCCAGGTCTCCCGCATTGTAGGTAGATTATTTACCAGTTGAGTCACCAGGGAAGCCCAAGAATACTGGATCTTCTCAACCCAGGAATTGAACTGGAGTCTCCTGCATTGCAGGTGGATTCTTTACCAACTGAGCTATCAAGGAAGCCAGAGAGACCTATTGGGAGCTATTAAATTAGCCCAGGATTGTAATAACAAATAGATGATATAAATGGGTGGCTTGCCAACATCAGAAACCCTGGAAGAAGAAAATTTAGGTTGATGTGGAAAGTACCCCATTGTAGCTAGCTGATTCTGAGACATGAGATCTGAGCTGGGTATATTGGCTTAGTCAGCATGTAGGTTTGTTCATGCCATTCAAGCCATGGAAATAAATGAGCTTCTCAGGACAATTTTGGAGACAGAGAACAAAAGAAAGTAGTAATAGAAAATGCCAGCAATCTTATGGCAGCATCATCTATGATTAATTTCATCTTTTTTTTAATGCAGAAAAGTATACTTCATGATTAACCAACCCTTGTTATAAACCACTCCAGAGAACAAACAGAACCCACTGTTCACCAGAGTAACCAGAGGGGATTATTTTTCATTCATTGCTCCACTCAGCAGACTTTAGTGTTCATCTCACTTTCAGCTCTCTGTACCTCTGTTGTCCACATATGGTCATTCAGTCTAATCCACTTGTAGACATTTATTAGAGGGTTTTCTTTTTCAAAGATTTTAAATTTACCCAAAGAAATCATAGTTTGAAATCCAGTAATCTAAAAGATGTATATTATCATCTAAAGCCCATAAAAGATAGATTGAAGTGTAGAGGCCTAAAGAGAGACAAAACTGAACTTAGTCTCTGTAGTAGTGCCCAAATATTCAACAAGTATATATTAAGTGTAGTCTATACTCCAGATTGCTTTAGGTTCTGACAATATAATATTGAACAAAACTAGACATGGTCCCACTTCTGTAGCTCACAGTCTAGCGAGATTTATCAGATTTAAAATTTTCAAAATTTTGCAAAGATATATTTTACAAAGATATTCCCATCTAGAAGACTGAGTAATATAAGGATGTTTCCTTTGTATGTAAGTGAAAATGGAGTCATAATATCTCAGCTTTTGGGACCAGAACCAGAGTCAAACATATTGAGAAGGGACCTGTGAGCAGACTGACAGGAAAATATTTCTAGATGCATAGCAGAGGTACCTAAATATACACTTGTCTGTCAAGTTGTTAAGACTCGGGGCTTCCAATTCAGGGAACATAGGTTTGTTCCCTAATCAGAGAGCTAAGATCCTGCATGCCATGGGATGTAGCAAAAAAAAAAAAAAGTAGACTTTGTGAGCCCGTCCTTTATAAACTGAGTTCAAATGTTAAAAGCTTTGCCAGAGTCCCAATGCTTTGAACTGTATTTTTAAAAAGAATTTAGCTGTTTCATTGTCATCTCATTTTTGAAAGTTATATTTTTGATTTTCTTCCCATGGCGAATAAAAAACTGTCATCCAAATCAAATAATAGAGTGAATTAAAATGAGGGGGAATGGCAGGAGAGTCTGGGTCTGAATTAATCAGTTTGGTTTCCTATAAGAGTCAGTGTTCCTGATAATTGTTTATTTAGTTTCACCTCTGCCTAAGAAAAGGGGATGTCGTTCTAACTTCCCCCTCTGCCAGCTTCCTCCACAGTGACTGAAGTGTTTAAAGAATACACTCCTTGGTTAGATCGACCAGACTCACAAAAAACTAAAACTGATTTACAGAATGATATATGTACAAGCTGCAAAATAAAATAACTCCTTGGAAATATTAAAAAAAAAATATATATTGGCAGGAGTTGCCACATCCTTATTTTCAGTACCCCTTCCCAAAGCACAATGAACATTTGCATATGAATGATTGTCCATCTTCTGGAGGAGATAAAGAGTTCAGTGTCCTGAAGCTGCCAGGGCACACAGTTGCAACTCCAGCTGTGCTAAATCCATAACTCAGCATTAGAGAAAATAAACAATGATAAGAAGATGTTGGCTTTATGCTAAACTTATCAATCAAATGAACTGAACTACTTCCAAGAAAAGGTCATAGTTTATTTTGACAAATGTTCTTAAAGTTGTGGTCCTCAGACTGGCAGGAGCAGCATCACTAGAAAACTTGTCTGAATTGCAGATTGTTGTTGTTTATTCTCTAAGTCATGCCCAACCCTTCTATGACCCTGTGGACTGCCAGGCAGGAATGATAGAGTGGATTGCCATTTCCTCCTCCAGAGGATCTTCCCTGATTGGGGATTGAACCCCATGTCTCTTGCCTTGGCAGGCAGATTATTTACCACTGAACCACAGGGAAGCCTGCAAGTTGTTGATCCCTACCCTAAATATCAGAAATTTTACAGATAGGGACCATCACTCTGTTTTAAAGTAAGCCTTGTAAATTATTCTGATGCATCTTGAAGAGACATAGCTATAGATTGGGTCATAAAACATGTGTGTGTATGCTCAGTCGTGTCCAACTCTTTGCAATTGTGTTTTAAAAGGTGCAAGCACATATTTGAGGTGCTGCCAATGTATATAGTGAGGGAAGCCTTGATAGGAAAATATATAAGAATTTTTTTTTTTAAGAGAAAGAATGGAAAGGAAAGGGAAATAAAAACTAAGTTTTTCCTGTGGCTCTTTATCTTGTGACTGGACTTTGTTTTGTTTCTAAAGGGATAAACACATGCCTTGACAGAAGAAAATTTGGCTCATAAAGCTCTGATAAACCATCACAGGTAATATTTGTTTCAAATTTTCAGCTACTACTTGTTCTAAGGGAAATTCTTTTTAACTTCTTAGCTAAATAGTTGTTTTCTGCCAGTTGGGAATTTTTCCTTTTTTAGCTAAAGAGAGCAAAGTTACCTCTCACTCTAAAAAAACCCACATATCTTTAATCACAAGTGTACATTTGTACATGGAAAAATTCATGAGTGGGTTCCATATAAGTCTGTCTTTTAATGTTAAAATGAAATTTCATGGGTAGTTATAATATGTTGGCATATATATGACAGAGATGTAAATTTTATTAATTATACTTGTTCCCTGGCTAAAATTGGATTTTAACTGCAAATTTCAATGTGAAACATGGTGCCAAAGGGCCCTAGCAATTCCGTGTGTAATTATCATGTTTTTCCATGTGTTTGATAGAAGCATGGCACAGTGGGATGACTTTCCTGATCAGCAGGAGGACACCGACAGCTGTACAGAGTCTGTGAAGTTCGATGCCCGCTCAATGACAGCTTTGCTTCCTCCCAGTGAGTAGAATAAGGGAGGATGCTCGTGGACATTGTCCTTGGAGTCAGTGAGACTGTAAAAGTATGGCCATGAGACTTACGCTGTCTGCTTGGCTGGATCTCAGTCTTAGTCACCTGACAGATGGACTGACCCATCTTGTTTGTGTTGTGGTTGCTTCTTCTCTTTTTTTTTCCTTCATTTTCCCCCTTTTTCTCATTTTAAAATTTTCTTTACCTAAGTTTTTCCTCCTTTTTCTGTTCAATTCCTCATAGAACATTATTGAACAATATCTAAAATTTCATTTTAATTTGCAATCTGAAAACAAAATTTCCTTCTTTTTTGCTAAACAACAAAAGCAATGGCCATAGGAAAGAATGTTTTAATGGATGTTTTATTCACTTAACTAGAGAAACATCTTCTTCTGCTAGTAAGATTCCCTGTATATCGAGATAGCTTTTGTACAATTAGCATCTCAACATATGAATTGCTGGTTCATATAAAGAAATAATACTAAAATACTAGTATATTCTGAAATATCCAGAGGACGGGCTTTACTGATCCATTCCAAAGTTTAATCAAAGTGTGAATTTTGTTATTTCTTTTTTTTCAACTTCTATTCAAATCATAAGAGGCATCTAAATACAAAATTATTGAGGTAGAATGAGAAAAGAAAATTTGCATAATTACCATCAAAAGTAATGTTTTTCTTATCTCACCTAAAATCTGAAAAAAAATATATAATTATTAATATATAGTTGCTTGAGGAACTTTATTTTCATCCAGAATGTTCACATTCCCATGTGAAACAGAAGAATAAAATTTATGTTTGCATGTGTGTTGGTATGGTATCAGTATTAAAATTTACCAATGAATGCATCCAATGAGATAAGTACAGCTTGGAGAAGATAGTAACTTTGTCCTGGATGTTTAGTTAGTGGATAAATCAAATGTCCACAGCGATTTCTGTATTGACTTCTCCTTTTGGCTGTCCCTTTTATTTTCTGCTGAATAAATGAGAACCTATTTCTTGGTTCCTTTTTTATTCCAGTAGGTTTGATACTAACCATATAATTGGAGATTTTAAAAAGTTTTAATTAAGTAAGTATGTTCTCTAACAGGAGGTTGGACTTTTGTTTTTTAGATCCTAAAAATGGCCCAGCTCTTCAAGAGAGGATGAAGTCTTATAAAGCTGCACTGATCACCCTTTATCTCATTGTGTTTGTTGTTCTCGTGCCCATCATTGGCATAGTGGCAGGTACAGTACTCTAGTTCTGAAACTCAGCAGCTCATCTAGTAAATTATTTACTGCAGAAGCAGAAAGAAGTATTCAGTCTTTGGTATATGGCAAATTCATAAGAATTTGAACTTCAGATAAAAAAAAGTTCCTCAAATTTATTTCATGAAAAAAAACAGATTCTGCAAAGTTATTGCATTAAAAAAACCTATAAATAAATGGCATAGAAAATGGAACTTTAAGATAAAAATATGAATATATGAAGGGAAAATGGAAAGAATTGACCATTTCAGCAATGTTATCATCTGAAGTCCTAGGAAGTTCTAATGATGCATCATACATTACATGGTAAGCATTCTAGTTGCAAATGTGATATAAACCTGATTGTTTATATTAGCAATGCCTAAAATGTAAAAACAAGCCAGTTGTTCTGGAAAAATACTTTTGTTCCTAGTATTGAGAGCAGAAAGAAGTATCCCTACAAGTCTTCAGAGGAAACCTCAGAAACTAATGACCTGTCCCTCAGCAATATTTGTCCTTTATATGGTCACATATTTCATGAGGGTTTTATTTAAAACCTCTCTAAAAATAAACTGATAGCATCCTTTCAAACAAACAAACAACAAAAAAAATAGAACACTTTGCTTGGGTCCTACATGATGTTTTTCAGGTATGTATTTGTTTTGAAGAGTTTGGCTGGAATTGGGGATACATTTAAAGAGTTTATACAGAGGTGTATAACTCAAGCAAATTGCATGTAACTCAAGCAAATTTATAAACATTATTTCCCTCAGGACCATTTTTGAGGAGTTTGATTGACATTTGAATTCATTTGCCTTGTAGCTCTCTTTTTCTCTGGGAGTGACAAAATGTCTAGACATATGCTTGAACAAGAGATAGGCTGGGAGGAAGATGTGGTTTTATGTGCATACTAATCAGCTTAACAAGGAAATGCTCCTAATATAAGGCCATACCTCCTCTGTCAAAAGGATATTCCAAGATAGAACCAAAATTGTACTAAGGAAGAAATGATCATGAAAGCAACAATGACTGTAATATTTTTATAACATTTTTGAGCATTTACTCTGTTCAGGCCCTGGGCTATACATTTTCCACAGATTGTCTTAAGACACCACACAGTTACCCTTGGACAGACATATGCTTACCATCATCATCCACAAAAGAAAACTGTTCAGTGATGGAACTGAAGTTCCTACCATGACTCCTGACTCCTATCCTTTGTGGTCTACTATCTCCCAGTTCAATCAGGTGTTTAGAACAAAATATGATTGGCCACTAAAAAATTAGCTTGTTGTAACATTAGTCAGGAAAATATTTTCCATATGTAAAAGTCAAATACTATTTTGGATGTCAAAAACAACAGTCAACCACAACCAATCAAACGAACCACAGCCATTTAAGTAAAAGAATCTGATGTGTCTGTCATTAAACAACAACTTCCTGATAAACCAGGTTATCTATGTGTTGTTTATGTTTATGCTTATCAGTTTCAAGTGCTTAACTGAAAGATGCATCATTGTTTGGGATCATTAGCTGTCAGCCAGTTAGAATTTGCATAATTTCCTCACTTTTATGGGGCTTCCCTGGTGGTTCAGCTGGTAAAGTATCCACCTACAACGAAGATGACCCCGGTTTGATTGCTGGGTTGGGAAGATCCACTGGGGAAGGATTAGGCTGCCCACTCCAGTATTCTTGGGCTTCCCTGGTGGCTCAGCAGGTAAAGAATCTGCCTGCAATGCGGAAGGCCTGGGTTCGATCCTGGGGTTGGGAAGATCCTCTGGAGAAGGGGATGACTACCCACTCCAGTGTTCTGGCCTGCAGAATTCCATAGATTGTATGTAGTCCATGGGGTTGCAAAGAGTTGGACACGATTGTATGTAGTCCATGGGGTTGCAAAGAGTTGGACACGACTGAGTGCCTCACCTTCATCGCTTTTATGTAAACCATGGCCTGCAGAACCAACCTCCGGGAATGCAACTTCTTTCTACTCGGCCCAGGCACAATGTGAACTGAAGTTTGAAAATATCAGAGTTCTAACAAGGTTCAAAATCTGTGGGCTGTTAGAAAATGCTACCAAGTCAACACAATTGTTCTAGGGTTGACAATGATTGACCTGAAGTAGTTTGTTTCCTTAAACCATAGCATGTACTATTAATACCGACAAAAAGCTAAACATGTTCAAATCTTGCAAGTTCACATTAGCACCCCAATTTACCAGAATTTAGATCTCCTGTGTTTATCATACTTGAATAATAAACAATTGACTATCCATTTACAGCTGTAAGTTGTAGGTCAGAATTTTTCCAAAACAAAGCTGAAATGCAATACATTAACTCTACATAATATAAAAAATTTCAAATGTAGACAAAATATATCCCTGAAATGATAGAAATTATTCTGTTTTGGCAAATATAAATCAGTAGATGAAATAAAATGTTGTACATGAAAGCTAAAGTGTCTTATGTATTGAAAAATATTTCTTAATTATAGTCTTCTCCACAAGCTACCGTTTTTCCAAGAAGCTACTACATTTCTTGAAAAGTATAACAACATATAATAATGTCTCTGAAGAATAAGATAAGGTTAAGCCTAAGGTTAATGTATATAAATTGCTGATAAACGGAAGATCCTTGAGCTCAAAATAATACAGATTTTTGGTAGAAGAAGGTATTGCCAACATGAAGAGTATATGTGATCTGTAAGGTCAATTATAACTCTCTCCCTATTGTACAAGTCATAAAATTTGTCTCCTTTCAAATGTAAGATAGAAAAGTCACAAAATACCATCTCTCTGATGATAATGAAAGAATTGAACATTTGAAAATATGAACTCTAGCATTCCATACCTAGATTTGTGATACTCATATTTGTGTCATTTGTATCATAGTTAAACGTTTTTAAAGAAAGCAAGGATTAAATTAGGTTTCACTCAGGCTTTGGGAAAACAAACAATATTGCATTATTAAGTCTATAAGCAAAAAGTAGCCTTTAGTATCAGCTCATGTTGAACTTGATATTGAAGAGAAATCTTTGGTCACATGACATTTTATCAAATCAAGTCTTCCCTTTTTACACTATGAAGAGATTTTGCTTTATCCCTATGAAATAAAAAGCATTTCTAGTGTAAGTAAAAATTATATGGTTGAGTAATTAAATCAATATGCCTATTAAAATAAGTAAAGATACTATCTTTCTCATGGAGCACCCAACTTTGTCCCAATTTTTTATATTACATAATATTAACTACCCCTTGTATCAGTATTGGGCATGCAGATATTGAATCCAAAATATTAATAATAATTAAAAAATGAAAAGTATCAAATGTGCATTATGTGCCAGGGAAAGATCTGAGCACTTCACATATATCAGTTCACTTAATTATTTAAACACTAACTAGTAGTATCCTATTTATAAGGTAGTGGAATGATAGCCTGATTAATTTGCTCAAGGGCACAGTTTATGAAGGAAAGAACAAGAATGGCTAATCCAGGCAGTTCCCGTCTAGAGGCTGAATTATTAACTGCTATCTGAAAAAACAGTAATCATTATAACAGAAAAATTTTAAGGGCTAACTTGGAGATAATTTTGCAAATATTGTTAGTTAGGGTTTCTGATTGTTAAAGTCAAATTCCATTCCTAGTCAGTTTGTTATTCCCAGAGTTGCTTGAGCAGTACTTTATATATAGTAGGTACTCAATAAATAAATCATGGAACTGGCAAATGCATAAATGAAGCTGTCAATCCAAAACTTGCTCTCTACACTTAATTTAATAAATATTGTGAGATCTAACTAGGAAATATACTATTTTGTCCAAATTATTGATAAAATAATGTACACTCAACATGGCCTCTGTTGTGGATTGTATCAAAATGTAGTCACATATTTTATTAACTCAAATAAGCTAATTTTAAAGAGAATATAACTAGGAGCATATAATATGATTTTTTTTAATTGTGATTTAATTGAATATGTAGTTTAATGCTTAATAAGAGCTATAATGACAGGTGTCATCAAACACCTTCTTTAAGTGATGGTGGTGAAGACTCTGTAACTAAGATAATAACTTTCAAAGATAAGGCACTTTTATTTGAGTAGTTTTCATATGTGCCATCTGTGTGCTATGGAATTTACATGCCTTATCTCATTCATTCTCAGCACCACTATAAGACAGTTATTACTTTTAGGTCTTTGGGGAAGACTAATTAAGAAGAAGAAAAATAACTTGCTCAGAGTAACCTAGTTAGTAACTAAGGAGTGGGACTAGATTCCAGAATTGGGCAGCTTGTTCCTACATAAACACCAAGCTCTCATTTGTATAACAGGTACCCTGAGCTTAGGGTAGAATTGAGGGCTTTTCTTTTTTTTTTTTTTTAATTCAGGGCTTTTCATGTGTTACCTCAGTTAAGTCTCAAAAACCTGTAAAGCTAATAAATAACTATTGCCATATCACTTTAAAGAAAATTGACAGGTCAGTTATTGCTGTTTATATAGATATACTTTTAAACCATACGAAGTTACTCTTTACTGCTCAATAATGGCCAAATATGTAAAGTCTTATGTATTCAAATTAATATGGATAAGAGACTGATATATATGTAGATAAAAGGTATAAATCATATAGATATATATAGAGAGAGATGAAACAATAAAAGCTTAACCATCATTAACTAGGAATAAAATGGTGCTTAACATTTTCTTCATGGTGTACAATTATGTATTATTTTTATTGGCAAAAATTATATTTATACTTTTCATTTTTGAAACTATAAACATATTGCTCTAGATCCTTTCAGAAGGATAATTAGCTTATTTAGAGAACATATGCCCATTTGTAAATATGTATCAGCAGCTCTCTATGCCCCAAACACCATTTAATAGAATTTTTATATTCAGGAAATAATTGCTCATAAGATGGTTCATCGAAGTGTTGAATATATTAGTAGAAATGGAAGTAATATATAGGGGTTTTGTTAAATCTGGCAAAACCACACATAGAATACAATGTAGTTATTCAAATTACTTTTATAAAGCAATATTAAATAATATGCAAGGGTCTTTATGATAGATGCTAATTGAAAGTTAGTTTCCAAATTATATATAAGCTCTTGATTGTATAATAATAATATGATAGTGGACTCAGAAATCTGATATGCATATACTAAACTGTTAGCACTTAATTCTGCACCATGAGATTAATGGTAAATTATTTTCATTACTCATATTTTCTAAATTTTCCTCCACAAATATATATTTTAGAGGAGTCTTGAAAGAACAGTATTTTTTTAAGTTAAAAAACTTTTTTATCCAATTTCCTGCTCTACCAACAATAAATTAGATCTGCAGAAACTGAAAGTGATAACTCTCTGGTAGTTTAGTGATAGCATAAGGAAGATGAGCCAACAATTTATTCATACAATGGATAACACTAATATTTATACTTTTGCTACATATTGTTTTTGTCACATCATAATTTATCTTCATAATAGCTAACATATTCAACATGTTTACTGCAGACACTGTGTTAAGCATTATCTCATCTTATCCTAACAGCACACCTGAGGACCAGGATACAGTGCACTTCATAATCTGTAGCATTTACTCTTGCTCTTATAGCCAGATGCAGCAAGTCAGAAAGAATGACTTAACCGTGGAATAAATTCTAATGTAAAATAGGAAAAGGACACTGTTTCCCTCCCAGCACTCTGCCTACTTTGGTTCACACTTTGTATGTTTAAAACAAACACCTGATTTAGGATAGCATTCAGAATGTTAGATTGGGATGAAGTGATGTGGAATGGAACAGTGGATGCATTTAAGGATACAGGGCATGACTCTGTTTATTTTTACTTAAATATGCAGCTCAGCTCCTGAGATGGGAAATGAAGAATTGCACAGTTGGTTCAGTTAATGCAGATATATCTCCAAGTCTGGAAGGCAGAGGAAATGGCAGTGAAGATGAAATGAGATTTCGAGAAGTCATGATGGAACGCATGAGCAACATGGAAAAGAGAATCCAGTATCTTTCAGACAATGAAGCCAATCTCCTAGATTCTAAGAATTTCCAGAATTTCAGCATAACAACTGATCAGAGATTTAACGATGTTCTTTTCCAGCTAAATTCCTTACTTTCCTCCATCCAGGGACATGAGAATATCATAGGTGATATCTCCAAGTCATTAGTAGGTCTGAACACCACATTACTTGATTTGCAGCTCAGTATTGAAACACTGACTGGCAGAGTTCAGGAGCGTGCATTTAAACAACAAGAGGTAAGAGTTTTTGTACTGGAAAGTCATATGCTGGGAGTGAACCCATCTGTAACCTATCTCCTCAGACAGTCCAAGGCAGAGACAAAGTTGCAAAACCTGTTTTCACATCATTCTACTTACCCTGATTTCTCTTGCAGTCTCACTAGAAAGTTCCAAATGGATTTACCTACTGCCTGTTCCAAATTCCCAGCCAAAGAGGGACTTTGTTTGTTTTTCATCAAATATAGACTCTCTTAGCATGTTTTAATTTTATAAATACTTTCAGAATGCCTCTGGAGATTCTCTAAACCCATTACAGTTGGTAGATTATCTTAGCACATTTGGACAGATAGACACAGTTTTTGCAAATTTTAAAAGAAACCCAGAATTTCTCCATCATGAAAAGAATGAAAACCTTATTTACATGGGTAAATTGTAAAATCTAAATTTTAAAATAGTTTGTCACTCCCAAGAAGTATTGCTAAATTTTTATGTGTAGAGATAACTGAAAGTAAAGAATTAGAGTTTGAATAATGCATCAACATCTTGTTTCCATCACAGGATCAAACACAAGAGAGCAAGACATCTTCTAGACCACTTGCCAGCCAAAGTATTTTTGCAAAGGCCCAGATGTGACTCTTAGGCTTTGGGAACCACATGGTCTCTTTTGCAATTTCTCAACTCTACCACTAGAGCAGTCATAGACAGTAGGTAGACAAATGAGTGAAAATGTGATCCAATATGTCTTTCTTTACAAAAATAGACTTTGACCCATGGATCATAATTTTTCTCAGCTTTTCCCTAAACTATTCTGTGGCCAGCCCTCTAGGTTACTTTGTATTGAGGAGAAAGAAATTTAAGAAGCAAGTTGTTTGGTTCAGAACTGGATTTTTTTGTTGTTAGGTAATTATAATTGTTCAATTTGTGAAAAAAATAAGCTCATGGATAAAGCTTTATTACTTGTGTGAAAAAATTAATCTTCATATTACATGCCCTAAGATCATAATGTGAAATGTGTAAAATTACCACCATTAGCTCAGTAAGGCTGCCATCTTTGTAGTATATTTTACTTGAATGGACCACATCTTAATTAATGAGGTTGTTTTCTATATAGATGCAGTGTTATGCAGTGGTGATGAATTTTTTAAATGGATGTCCCTTTTAGAGAGCAAAGGAAAGCCTCTGAAGTTTTAACATCACATGAAAACCAACTAAATTATTGACTAGAGAATAGATTAAACAGGTTAAGAAAGCACATTTTTATATTTATTTATTGTAAGACGCAATCACTGAGAGGACAATGACATTGCTGTTTAAATATAGAAATTCCATCGGTGAACCTCATCCCAATGCCAGCCTTGATAGTCCGTGTTGTATCCCTGTCACATCTTCCAAATACTGACTGTTACTCTCTCCCCCATGGTTAATAAGTATCTAAGCATACGCAAATGTTATTGGAATATCAAGTACTCAGGCTATGGAGGGTTTAGAAAGAGTGCACAAATAAGAAAGTGTCCACAGGGATGAGAACCTTGAGAGACACAGGAAAATAAAATATCAGCTTTGGGACTAGAAAGTGATTAAATATGAAGGAAAGAGGACAGGAGAAGGAATATTACTTTGTGTGCAAACAAGATTCACTACTCTAAAACCTGACTGTGTGGATCACAATAAACAGTAGAAAATTCTTAAAGAGATGGAAACACCAGACCACCAAACCTGCCTCCTGAGAAATCTGTATGCAGGTCAAGAAGCAACAGTTAGAACTGGACATGGAACAACGGACTGGTTCCAAATTGAGGACAGAGTACATCAAGGTTGTGTATTGTCACCCTGCTTATTTAACTTCTATGCAGAGTACATCATGCGAAATGCCGGGCTGGATGAAGCCCAAGCTGGAATCAAGATTGCCAGGAGAAATACCAATAACTGCAAAATATGCAGATAACACCAGCCTTATGGCAGAAAGCTAAGAGGAACTAAAGAACCTCTTGATGAAAGTGAAAGAGGAGAGTTAAAAAATTGGCTTAAAACTCAATATTCAGAAAACTAAGATCATGACATCTGGTCCCATCACTTCATGGCAAATAGATGGGGAAACAATGGAAACAGTGACAGACTATTTCCTTTGGCTCTAAAATCACTGCAGATGGTGACTGCAGCCATGAAATTAAAAGACGCTTGCTCCTTGGAAGAAAAGCTATGGCCAACCTAGCTGCAGCTGCTGCTGCTGCTGCTAAGTCGCTTCAGTCGTGTCTGACTCTGTGCGACCCCATAGATGGCAGCCCACCAGGCTCCCCCATCTCTGGGAGTCTCCAGGCAAGAACACAGGAGTGGGTTGCTGTTTCCTTCTCCAATGCATGAAAGTGAAAAGTGAAAGTGAAGCTGCTCAGTTGTGTCCGACTCTTAGCGACCCTATAGACTGCAGCCTACCAGGCTCCTCCGTCTATGGGATTTTCCAGGCAAGAGTACTGGAGTGGGGTGCCATTGCCTTCTTCCATGGCCAGCCTAGACAGCATATTAAAAAGCAGAGACATTACTTTGCTGACAAAGGTCTATCGAGTCAAAGCTATGGTTTTGCCAGTTGTCATGTATGGATGTGAGAGTTCAACCATAAGGAAAGCTGAGAACTGAAGAATTGTTGCTTTTGAACTGTGGTGTTGGAGAAGACTCTTGAAAGTCCCTTGGACTGCAACCAGTCCATCTTAAAGGAAATCAGTCCTGAGTATTCATTGAAAGGACTGATGCTGAAGCTGAAGCTCCAATACTTTGGCCACCTGATATGATGAGCTGACTCATTGGAAAAGACCCTGATGCTGGGACATATTGAAGGCAGGAAGAGAAGGGGACAACAGCGGATGAGATGGTTGGATGGCATCAGTCACTCGGGAGTTGGTAATAAACAGGAAGCCTAGCATGCTACAGTTTATGGGGTCACAAGTAGTCAGATACGACTGAGCAACTGAACTAAACTGAAGATCAGAGGGGCAGTGAGACAGGGTGAGAAGAAAAAGAAGACAGATACAATGAAAGAATAAGAATTTACTTGATATTGGTAATGTCCCCAAGTCCTCAGAGATTATAAATTATCTATGAACTGGCTCAGCTGGTAAAGAATCCACCTGCAAAGCGGGAGACCTGGGTTTGATCCCTGGGTTGGGAATATCCCCTGGAGGTGGGAATGATTACCCACTCCAGTATTCTGGTCTGGGGAATTCAGTCCATGGAATCACAAAGAGTCGGACATGACTGAGTAACTTTCATTTTCATCACTTTCATGAACCCACATAAATGAAGATGTAAAACCAAATTGGAAACCATTTGGAAGATAGTAGAAGTGCTGAACATGTTTGAAGTGATACATGTGTGTGCTTAGAGCTGTGCCTAGCTCTTTGCGACCCCATGGACTGCAGCCCTCGAGGCTCCTCTGGCTGTGGGGATTCTCCAGGATCCTCCAGGATTCTCTGGGAGTAGGTTGCCTTGCCCTTCTCCAGGGGATCTTACCAACCCAAGGATTGAACCGAGGTCTCCCACATTGCAGGCAGATTCTTTACCGTCTGAGCCACCGTGGAGCCTGGAAATGATATATAATAGAAACAGTCGGAATCTGATGATAATCGATCATTGAGTTGGAACAGATTGCACTTTTCATTTTGGAAGCGGTCCCAGCGTTAGAGATGGAGGTACAAGGGAAAGGAGGAACTTGCAAGGTTAATTTTTTTAAGCTGTTTTTTGTAAGACAGTAGTCATTTGCAGAGATTTGAAATCTAGGTCAGTGCTAGTGTGTGTGTGTGCATGCGTGCGTGCTCACTGAAAATAGTATTTACAATCTTGTTCCCATCGCTTAAAACAATTGGATTCATCTTTGAATCTTTAGCCCAATGCAGGAATAAGTAAATTAAATAAATGCCTCAATCAGTAATTGTTTGAATAAAAGGCTTATAAATAATACCAGCATAATGTTTATCAAGGATAGACCAAGCATTAATTTGAAAGAAAGAAGAATACTGACTAAATAAAAGAAAGAGATGGGATTTATTATCTCTGCTTTACATAGAAAGGACTGTAAGAATGCAAAGTTAAATGCTTGTTTCTAGCAGAACCACTGGTGGTAGATGGACAGTGTGTGGGGTTACTGTATAGCAGCAGTCCCCAGCCGTTTTGGTTCCAGGGATGGTTTTGTGGAAAACAATTTTCCCTCGGATGGGGGGTGATGGGAATTGGTTTCAGGATGATTCTTTTATTGTGTACTTTATTTCTATTATCATTACATCAGTTTCACCTCAGACCGTCAGGCACTAGATCCTGTCACCCAGGGACTCTTGCTATACAGGACTTTTAAAGATATATCAAATGAACTTTCTCTCCTCCCAATAAAACCTGTTTTAAGTAAAGCGTGGTTAGTATGAGCACTGTATAGAGTTTTCAAAGAAGGGGAAAAAAGGCAGCCTCAGCTTTAGGTGTGAAAACCATGGGTGACTCCTAAGGTTTAGGGAGTAAAGTCACCAACTAGTCCCTTGACCTTTTCTCTGTGGATATCAGGAACTCCCTGACAGCTGGAGCAATCTGCAGCCACATCAGTGATGTCGAGCATATTTATCATGTCATGCTCTATAAAACATCCATGTTCATTACTTCATGTATGTATGTACCATACTGTACAGAAAAGGCTAAATGGGGAGGGAGGCAGCAGAGGGTAGAGACATCCTAATCTCGAAGAAGATTTTGGATGAGGGAAGGCACAGTCAGAGTGATAAAAACCGACGTCTCTCTATTTGAGTGCAGTGCTCTTGTACAGGCAGATCTGGGTATACTTGCATTTCTTTCCAAAGGTTTTAGGTGACACTTTTGACCCTCTCATTTCAACTTGTCCAGTCCAGTCAAGGGAGGTGAAATTTTCTTTTCATACCTGGATTAAGGAACAGTACACCACTGATTTATTTCTTTGTGCAATTGGGAAATGAGAATTTATTAGCAATTAAACACAGAAGTCATTAGAAAAGTATAAATTATACCATGAAGACAGAGGATACAAGGTAAGTAGAACAGAGAAATAGAAAATGCTACCAAGATAGATGAGAAAGTTAGGTACCCTGGAAAGAGAAAGCCTAGCTCCCAAAGGAAAACCCAGGAAATGACTTGAAAGGAAAAGTAATAAAGAAAAATATTGTCAAAAACTTTACAACTGGATACTTAACCTCATCACAATTTGAAAAGCAAATTGAACAAGATTTTATTGTGTTTACTCTTACTCTGAACAATTAAATGCATTGATGATACTTAGGGTTTGAGTGCAAAAGTAGGCATTCGATACATTAAGTAAGATTTTTGAAATAAAATGGTCCTGTGTATTTATAGGGTGGTATGGCAGTGGTGAACAAAATTTTTTATATTTAGTCCCTTTGATCAGATCCACTTCCAGGAAACTGTACTATAAAAGTACTTGTGTAAATATGTAGGTACATATAAAATTGTGTTCATTGCAGCATTATTTATGTGCAGCTCAAAACTCTTTATCAATAGGAATCAAATTATGAAACATACAATATAATTCTACTAAATTATAGCAAAAAAGCAGTTTCTAAATATTTTAATAGGTAAATATTCTTAATATATTACTGAGTGAAAAATAAAGTCATCATCCAGAACATGATGTCATCTCTCTCATTCGTAGTCTTCAGATATGCATGCATATGTATAAATGCCCATAATTTATATGTACATTTGAAAACATAAAATAATGAAATCTCAAATACAGAGCCAAAACATGTGAACATAAGATATTGTTAATATGCTAGTTGAGATTTTATTGAATCTGAAAAGCTATCTTTAATGTTCGTTACCATTGAGAATTATGACATTAAGCTTTGCTATAAAACAATTTAATATACAAATCTATTGAGTTTATAGAATTGGAATTACTCAAGTACAGTATAAAGAGTTTAACTTCGGACGAATTTAAAACCATATGCCAAGTTTTAAATTTGATTTTAGTTTTAGCATTTTGACATGTAGATATTTAGGAATAGAAGCATGTCTAAGATATATATATATTTAACCTTTTTTTTTTTTTCTGGCAGAGTGTAGAAATAAGCCATTCAGTTAAAAGAGGAAATACTTCAAAACCAAAGAATTACTGTTTTAAAGTTATTCTCTAATTTCCATATTCTTATTCCATAATATCATTGTAATATTATCCATTAAAAAAAATCTGACTTGTAGGGCTTCTTAAACTTATATATTTGATAATTGTGTGTGTAACAGAAATTGCGGATGTTGGCTTGTGTTTCACAGGAGATGCGTAAATTAGAGGAGCGTGTGTACAATGCATCAGCAGAAATTAAGTCTCTAGATGAAAAACAAGTGCATTTGGAACAGGAAATAAAAGGGGAAGTGAAACTGTTGAATAATATCACTAATGATTTGAGGCTGAAAGATTGGGAACATTCTCAGACATTGAAAAATATCACTTTATTCCAAGGTAAAGTATCTTCTCATTCCTCCAGAAAATTATATACTAGGGTGTAGTGATACATGTAGAAATTTGGTATTGGAAATTCTATAGTTTTCAAACAGTTTTGGAGCATGTATTTATCACAAATATCCAGAGGAAAGAGTTTTGAGATCTTTTCAAGATGTGTTAAGGTAACTGTCTTCTACTATATTTAAAACTGATAACCAATAGGGACCTACTTTATAGCACAGAGAACTCTGCTCAGTGTTATGTGGCAGATTGCATGGAGGGGAGTTAGGGAGAGAATGTATACACGTGTATGTGTGGCTGAGTCCCCTCACTGTTCATCTGAAACTATCACAACATTGTTAGTCAGCTATCAGTTCAGTTCAGTTCAGTCGCTCAGTCGTGTCTGACTCTTTGCGACCCCATGGACTGCAGCACGCCAGCTTCCCTGTCTATCACCAACTCCCTGAGCTTACTCAGACTCATGTCCATTGAGTCGTGATGTCATCCAACCATCTCATCCTCTGTCATCCCCTTCTCCTCCTGCCTTCACTCTTTCCCAGCATCAGAGTGTTTTCCAGTGAGTCAGTTCTTCGCATCAGGTGGCCAAAGTGTTGGGAGTTTCAGCTTTAGCATCAGTCCTTCCAATGAATATTCAGGACTGATTTCCTTCAGGATTGACTGGTTTGATATCCTTGCAGTCCAAGGGACTCTCAAGAGTCTTCTCCAACACCACAGTTCAAAAGTATCAATTCTTCGGTTCTCAGCTTTTTTTATAGTCCAACTCTCAGATCCATACATGACTGTTGGAAAAACCATAGCTTTGACTAGATGGGCCTTTGTCAGCATACTAATGCCTCTGCTTTTGAAAATGCTGTCTAGGTTGGTCATAGCTTTTCTTCCAAGGGGTAAGCGTCTTTTAATTTCATGGCTGCAGTCACTATCTGCAGTGATTTTTGGAGCCCAAGAAAATAAAGTCTGTCACTATTTCCATTGTTTCCCATCTGTTTGCCATGAAGTGATGGGACTGGGTACCATGATCTTAGTTTTTTGAATATTGAGTTATTAAAGAAATGGTGAAAACTCTTAATCTCAGAGGCTGAGTCCACAGTTAGTCTGTGTCCCTTGTTTCTTGTCTCACACTGTATAGTTTTTCCTGAGATGTCTGTCTTGGTTTAGGGCCCTGTCACTGAATCACAGCCTTTGCGTATGCACTCTTTTTTTTTTTTTCAAAATTAATCCTGGAGTACTGTAGATTTGCTTCCCTTCAATTTGCTCAGCAAAATTCAAGCTGCAAATTGAGTCTTGCTGGCCTACTTTCCTGCTTTCTTGTCACTGTGCAGAAATGAATGACCTGTAGCCATGTTCACAGTTGTGGGGTTAAAACCCCTTTGTTGGGAAGAAGTATTTGCTGCAGGAATAGGAGGTGCATGGCTTCCCATTGATATAGAACCAGGACATCTCTTGTGGACACCTAAAAATATGTTTCTTACATTAAGCTGTAGTTTACAAGAACTTGCTACTGTAGTTGTTACTATAGCTATTTAATGCCCCAGTGGTATGTAATTTACATGATGATTATATCTTTAAAAAAGCAAAGAGGCAAAAAAAATACACAAGTATAAAATATAAATGTTAGTGGTTATTCTCTTAAGATGATAGAATTATGAATTAGATTTTCCTCATTTTGTCTAGGCTTTTACCCTTCCTATAATATGTAGAGTTATTATTGTAATGAAAATGCAATAAAACATTATAGCCCAGTGGTGTATATGAAGGGAAATGGACAATGTGCCATTGAAATGGAAAATGTGCCATGGCTATTTGGAAAATTAAGTTATCAGGGAAGGAAGGTCCTAAAACCCAATTTGGACCTTGCAAAATCAGAAACAGTTCAGGAAAATGGTGAAAAGCAGAGGAAAGTATTTGAAAAGAAGCAAAGAAAATGGACAGAATATACTTACTCATGAGATTATCTTTATTTATGTAGCCCCTTCTTAGAATTTTTCAGGTCTTTTATCTTCCCACCTGATTACAATTTGTAAATGAGTGCTGTTTAACCAGTGACACTAACTATGACTGTGTATTGTCCTTGGGTTACGTGGCTGAACCATGGAAGTTGAAAAATGCTTCTTTTAAAACATTGCTATGTAGTTATTCTGTGATATATCCAGGTTCATTTCTTCCTCTTGGAATTAAAAAAAAAAAGCATTTGCTAAGTGTTCTGCTTTAAAGGAAGAGATTAATACTTGTCCGATGGCATTCTATAAAGAAAAAGGACATAATGCCATCTGTTTCTTGGACACAGAAAATTCAAGTGACTTAATCAGTGTTGATCAGGCTCAGTATTGGGGGACACTGTGGTATTAATAATTGCCATGCCAAGTAGTCAAAATTTCCCCTGCAACCTCCATCTTATTTTATAACATCTATATCCATCTTGGGATTCTACTTAATATTATACTTGAAAAGTTATTCCTTTACTCATTTTCACTTCACTGTCTTTCCCCACATCTCTCCCACTTATCCAGAATTCTCTTTCTTCTCATTCTACCTATTCTTCAAAGTCCACTCCAATCCTACCTCCTCAATGGAGCCTTTTCAACCACTGCTCCTTGTGCTGATGTGCATCTCTCTAACAAATACCCAAGGGTATCATTTTCGACAATATGGTTTTTGGTTATCTACTTCGTGTGGATTTCTGTTTCCTTTGACGGTACTACACATGACTCTACTTGCACATTTCCCACAGAGCATCTAACTTAATATAGTGAAATCTGCCTGGTGGTAAGGTAACAAGGAGATGTTCCCAGAACCTTAATTATCAACCTTCTGGTTCCAGTGAATCCTGCGTCTCCGTGCTAGTGGTCTGCACATAGTCACCACCCTCCACCTCCGTGAGCGGCTTGGTGTCTGCAGATCAACTCAGACATGTGTCAGATCGTTACATATATTGTTGGGGGGAACTATGACTCTGAACTTGAAGCTACCTTGTTGGACTACTGCTTTCTGTCTGCACGCCCTCACTTGTCTCATTGTTAACTGCTTGTGCCTGCTCACTGGGGCTCAAGGAAGGCCTAGGAAACTAAAGACTTTTCTCTACAAACAAGAAACAGGGGACCTGGAAAGCCTTGGGCTGGGTAGGTCCCTAAGATCCTGCTTGATTTAAATCCCCCTTTTCTTTGATGCTCCTCAATCCTGAGGGAAGCATGGGTAAAACAAGAAGGGGTATAAAATATTGGGTAGAGAGGTTAATCATAAATTCGGCAAGGGAACTCAGTTTTAGGGGCGCTGGGTTTCATTCCCAGTAGGTACACAATCCTAATGTGGATTTGTCCTGTCACTGACTCAAGTGTCTCTCTCTGCCGCCAGGATCTGAGAACGCAGAACGGTGCAGCACGCATAAGTATCTAATCCGTAATCAGGCTGTTTAGGCTGGTTTAGGGCCATCTCTTTGTACTACTCAATGGCTGGCTACACCGCTTCCATCCAAGATGGTCAGCCTCGTTCATTCTGTGTAACTGTGCAACAAACAGAAGGCTTTGGATTTACCTATGTGACTGTCTTGACAGGTGACAAATTTATTTTACCTTTGCTTTAAAACTATGATCAGTAATTGTCATTTATTTTTTTAAAGGTCCTCCTGGACCTCCAGGAGAAAAAGGAGATAGAGGCCCTGCTGGAGACATTGGTCTACCAGGCATCCCAGGTCCAATAGGTATGGTAATAGTAACTACTTCATTATGTACCACAGAGCTGAGTAGTATACACCATGTATGAGGAAGGAGGGTCGAGATATTTGATTGGTTCTCTGTGGGGGGTGTGTGCATGTGTGTGTGTATGTGCGTGCGTGTGTGTGTGTGTGTGTGTGTATTGAGGGCGTATTAAGTGTTCGGGTAGCTTTATCACCTCTGTTCAGAATGGTAAGCACTGATTCTTCATTTTTGAAGAACGTTAACAACATGAGGTTGTTAATTCTAGGGAGGGCTGTCTATATCACTGACTGCACACAGTATTTGGCAGAAATAGTTTGAAGTTACAGGTGACGGAAAATATGAAAACTATCTTCATGTTGAATATATTTACAAGTCATCTGGTTTTCAAGATACCAAAAAAAAAAAAAAACCGAGTCAAAGGCGAATTGGATCATATTCCTTATATAGTCCTTAACTGAACATACCTGCTTAAACCTCTGCAGTTTCAATATAAATATTGACTAGAATATGGATGAGTTTTACCTTTGCTGTCAGTTACTCTCTGTATCTTACTTGGAGCAAAATGTTTCAAATTACTTTCTTCAGTCTATTTTGTAATCTTGAAAGCAATATTTTGAAAGAAGATAATAGAAGACAGGAAAAGAGAAAGATCATGAACTTTCTTTGCTCTCAAAAAAATAAAGAAGATAATAACAAGAACATGATCACCATGTTATTCTTGGCTCAAAATCAAATACCTGTATGACTTTTGAAGGTGGGGTGTACATTGCACAGTCTAATTACAACTAGAATGGTTTGTTCTGCCCTCTCCCAAAATACCTAAATATTAAGGATTTCATCTTATTTTTCTGACTTTTGATTATATAAAATGTCCTTCTTTCTGATCAATGTATCGACCAGCCCAGCTTACATCAGAAAAACAGTTTTTAAAAATGAAAAGCATGAATTTGACACAAGCCTGCCCTTTATATCATAGAGCTTAAAAAGCCAGTGTATAACATTACATTTTTTTAAAAAAATTTTAAATTCCTTTAAATAAAAAAAAATATATATATATGTGTATAAGGTGAATTGTTGCTGTGCCTTTGAAAGTAATACCAAGTAAGAGCCTTTATTCAGAAAAGTCTTTCCACTTGACTAGCACCTGGCAGATCTTAGCAATGGTGTGCTAATGTCATGAGCAGGGAAGTAACCAGTGTTATATTATCTGCCAGAGTGGCTATTGTCAAAGGTCTGTCAGCTCCTCTGTTACAAATTGCAATTGTCAAAGCTTTATAAATCAACCATCAAAGTTCAGTCTGGGCTACAACTTGCTGTCCAAAGCTTCATCTTGGGAACATCTTTTGCAGCTGTTTCAGAACTATGGATGTATGAAATAAAAAGAGGGATTTAAAAGTTTCAGCCTTTGTTAATACCATAAACAGATAGCATTGCAAAGCCGCTTCAATTCTTTAAGTGAGGCTTTAGTCTGTGGCTGTTGGTACTGCTCGTGTACGGCACAAACAAGCATTATCTGGCCCCTCTAAAGAGAAGCAGATTTCATTGTGGGAGTGATAAACTGACTCTCTTAGATTATTAGGTTGCCATTTGATTTGGTGCACTGCAGCAAAAATATTCAAGTTATAAGGCATCTCTCCTACCTAATTGCTGCATTCTGTTTTGTTCTTTGCCACATTACCTATTTGTCTCATGTGTAGAACTGGAATCAGGAGCTTAAAAGTATATAATGGACTGTCTTGATACTTCTACTTTCTGATTTAAGCAGGTTTATTAAAACCCCACATATACATGCAGTTAAGCACACTAAACTCAGCTCGACACTCAACCACGATATGAAAGTCTGAGAAAAATAAGTGTTTATCCTAATGTTCAGTGGCTAAGTTGTGTCCAACTCTTTGCAACCTCATGGACTGCAGCCCTCCAGGCGCCTCTATCTGTGGCATTTCCCAGGCAAGGATATTGGAGTCCATTATTTATCTTAGTAGTTTTAAATAATCAATATAGTAAATATATTATAATTGTTACTTATACTGGGGTGGATATTATGTGGATAAACTGTGCTTTATCTTAAAGAATATAATAAAAAATAATTTCAGTGTGCTATTTCCTTGGCAGTATGTCAGGGAGAATGACCTATGACTTTTTACTTTAAAATTTATTAAAAAAATTTTTTACTGAATACTTTCCTTGTGCCTGGGAGACACATGTACACACACAGTTACATTACTGTTTGGGATTAAAATGGAGTAGGTATAAACAAGAGCATGCGAGATAGAGTGATATATTCCTTCACTAGTACCTAGTTTTTTTTTAATAAATATTCTTTTATAGTTCCCATTGCCCGAGTTGTGATTTTTCTGGGGCAAATGTTAAAAATCCAATTTTTAACTTACATTTCAAAGTTATCACTTCAGCCACAGCAAAATCCTGCCATTTGAAGATTCCTGATTAGATTACATAAACCTTCTAATTAAAACTTCAAGATTTGTTTCCTCATGTGCTTTTATTTCTATTAACAATATGTTACCTATTGAATATCTGCTGTGTATGCACTAATGTTTTTCCACTCACTGTTGATGTTATCTATCAATTTCTACACATGAAATTTTAGGAAAGATATTATTCCTCTATTTGGAGATTCACCTCTTTCATATCCATTAGTGAAATTAGATTGCTTCATTATTTTCACAAATTGTTATGAAAAATGAATTATTACTAGTGTGGTTTTTTTTTCCCCTTCATTTACCATGTAGGTCCTCCAGGTCTTAAAGGTGATCGGGGGCTCTTTGGTTTTCCTGGAAGTCGAGGATTCCCAGGACCAGCGGGGAAGACCGGGAAGCCAGGTATTCTGATAATGCATATTCTCTCTATAGAACATGAGAATAAACACCAGATCATTGATATTCCTTTCAACTTCTTAGATCACAAAAACAATGGTCATCATGGTATGAACAGTAGCAGTTACATGCAGTTTATTTTGTGATCTGAAACATTTTGAAACTGATTTCTGACCATGTGAGCAAGGCTTCTATTTACTAAAGGAAAACAGTTTAATATAAAACCACAACAGAGGATCTATCAACTTCACACCACTGTAAATCACCATCTATCATAGAATAAAGAGTGGAAGACTGGCAAAGAAAACAAAAAAGCAAAATACTAGCCAAATAACCATTATTAATAAACAATATTAACCCCCCTTTAACCAAAACCTTCAAATCCTCTTAAGTTATAATTAGCAAAACACAGGTAGACCTGAAATCCTATCCTTTGTAACATAATTTTCCTCCTAATGTATCAGTTCAGTTCAGTCGCTCAGTCATGTCCGACTCTTGTGACCCCATGAACCACAGCATGCCAGGCCTCCCTGTCCATCACCAACTCCTGGAGTTTACCCAAACCCATGTCCGTTGAGTTGGTGATGCCATCCAACCATCTCATCCTCTCTCGTCCTGCTCTCCTCCTGCCCTCAATCTTTTCCAGCATCAGGGTCTTTTCCAATGAGTCAGCTCTTCTCATCAGGTGGCCATAGTACTGGAGTTTCAGCTTCAACATCAGTCCTTCCAATGAACATCCAGGCCTGATCTCTCCTTGCAGTTCAGGGGACTCTCAAGAGTCTTCTCCAACAACGCAGTTCAAGGGCATCAATTCTTCTGCGCTCAACTTTCCTTATAGTCCAACTCTCACATCCATACATGACCACTGGAAAAACCATAGCCTTGACTAGACAGAACTTTGTTGACAAAGTAATGTCTCTGCTTTTTTTTTTTTCATTTATTTTTATTAGCTGGAGGCTAATTACTTTACAATATTGTAGTGGGTTTTGTCATACATTGACATGAATTTAACCATGGATTTACATGTATTCCCCATCCTGATCCCCGCTCCCACCTCCCTCTCTACCCATTCCCTCTGGGTTTTCCCAGTGCACCAGGCCTTTCACTTTCATCAAGAGGCTCTTTAGTTCTTCTTCACTTTCTGCCATAAGGGTGGTGTCATCTGCATATCTGAGGTTATTGATGTTTCTCCCGGCAATCTTGATTCCAGCTTGTGCTTCCTCCAGCCCAGCATTTCTCATGGTGTACTCTGCATATAAGTTATATAAGCAGGGTGAGAATATACAGCCTGATGTACTCCTTTTCCTATTTGGAACCAGTCTGTTGTTCCATGTCCAGTTCTAACTGTTGCTTCCTGACCTGCATACAGGTTTCTCAAGAGGCAGGTCAGGTGGTCTGGTATTCCCATCTCTTGAAGAATATTCCAGAGTTTGTTGTCATTAACACAGTCAAAGGCTTTGGCATAATCAGTAAAGCAGAGATAAATGCATTTCTGGAACTTTCTTGCTTTTTCGATGATCTAGCGGTTGTTATTTTATTAGTACTTAATAATCGACATGCTCAGGCCTGTTACAATTTGCATACACTATGATGTTATTTCTACTCCTTATGCCAGTAACCTAAGTTTGAACTGTGAACTTTGCACAGAAATTTTAGAAGGGAGCAGGGGCAGAAAAATGCAGAAGCAATTAGCTATATTGCCAAGTGGTAAGTAATAAACATTTGTACAGTCGGACAGAAGTAATGAGAGCTGGAAGCTGTGGATGTAGGAAGTAGAGTGATTAATTCCATACAGCAGGACAAGGTGTTAATGAAAGTTCTGTGGGAGCTGGCCTAAAGGTGCATAGAATTCCATTTTTGTCTGTGGTTTTCAGGCTTCAGCAGGCATTAGAATCACCTGTAGGACCCTGTTAAAAGAACCTACTGGGCTCCTGGGCTCCAACTCCAGAGTTTCTCATACAGTAGGTTAAGAATTGGGTTCCCCCAAGAATGTTTACTCTACACAGATTTCCAGGTAATAGTGATGGCGCTGATCCAGGGATCACAGTTTGAGAACCACATTTCCAGTAAAGAAATGTGGAGAAACAGTAACCCTGTACAGAGGTAATAAATCTCTTGACCAAAGATATTCTCAGGATATCCTTTGCTTATTAAAAGATTCAAATTTGCTAGAAATGTGAGCAGCAGTGCCTGGTACTAGTTAAGTTATACTTCAGATTAAAACAGTAAATGAGTCCTTCCATACAAGAGTCCAAAGAGTAATAAAATTAGAAATAAAATCTGCTAATTGTCATGTTCTAAATAATGACAGCCTGGACTATCTGAGTGATGTCAAAGCATTATCAGATTTCCAAGCAAACAGTTTTTTAAAAAAGCAGCCCTATTTATTTTCTCCTATTTTCTCTCCTGCTCTCGTTTTCTTCCCCGCCCTGCCCTCTTTCCTCCACGTGTATTAAGTCCCCTCCCCCCATATATATAAACATATACACACACAAGGGACAATGCTTGGTACAAGGGAATGAGAGTAATTAAGATACAGTCCTTAACTGACAAAATACACACATATAAGCAGAAAAAGGGAAGACTTTCTTCTTGATCCATCCCAGATTTATAGAGCATTTATCATCCCAACAGGTTTACTGAAGAGAGCTTGGAAGATTTAATTGATGTGTAACCTTACATATATTTAAAATCCCTAAAGGACTCTGAATATAACCTGTTTAAATGAACTAGATTTTCCAGCAATGTAAATAATTTACTTCGCTTGGAATCCATTCAAGGTCTGATTCTAAAAATGAGTTATGGCCTTTCTTAGGAGTGTCTAAAGCTATAGACCATAGCAAATTCATTTATTTATTTGACAAACAATTATGAAACACTTTCTCTGTGCCATGCTTGGAGATATTTATAGATAGTCAAATATATGGGTTTGGAACTCAGAGGAAAAGCCAGAGGTAAAAAGACAAAGTTGTAGTCAAGCTCATATAAATGTTCACTGAGGTCAATGACTTTTAATAATTGTTGATTTTAATAGTATTTCATGGGTAGGCAGTGAGAAGAGAAGGGGCCTAGGATAAAGGCTGAAGTGGTTCCAGAAGTACAGACAGAGCAGAAAGAACAAAGGAGACCGAGTGAGGAGGAGAGCCCGGACAAGGTGATGTGGAAAAGGCAGACAGTTGCACAAGTCGGTCAAGTAAGCTGCGGCCCACAGAAAGCTCTTTGCACTTGTTGCTATGAGGAGGTTGCCTTTATTAGAGCAGTTTTGGTGGGGTTGGGTGGAAGCCAGACAAGGGAAGGCCCAGAGGTGGCTGGTGGTGGGGACCGTAGACGGGGGTAGAGAGGTCTGGCTCTGCCGAGGGGGAGGAGCAGCTCAGTTCTTTCATTTGATTTTGTGTTTTCTTTGGAAGTTAATTTGAATACTATTTAAAGGCTGATGGCCAGATGAAATACAGGAGTTGCTGAAGATACAGAGGAAGCAAAGGTGAAAAAGACTATGAAACGTTAGGAAGAAGGTTGAAGGAGAAGAATCCAGGAGACAGGAAGAGGCACTAGGCTGAGGGAGGGTGTCACATCTGAAATGGTGTGGAAAGACTGGCTGAGCTGAGTGTGCCTGCGTGTGAAAATGGGGATCCAGCACCCGGCTCACGGCAGGGCTCTGAAAATGCCTGACATCATAATGATGTCGGTGAAAATAGCTCCTCTGATCTTAGAATTTAGAGTGGCAGTATGTTACATACCATCTACGTCTTATTTTTCAGTGACTATCAGAAATATTCGTTCTTTATTTTTGATGGAAGAGTGACATAGCTGACAGGAGGTGGTTAACTCCAGATTTTGACAAAGCTGTTGGGCTCATTTTTAGTCTAGGGCATCTCTTCATAAAGGAGGGAGGAACCCCTGTTCTCTAGAAAGGATGTTTTTCATGTGTTCAGGAGTGAAAAAAGATTTCCAAATGCTATTTGTGAGGAAATCTCTGAATCATGCTAAAATGACATAAAACATTTGTTTTTATTTATAAGAAGAAAAGTGGGTCATTGGCTCAGATCTTTGGTTTAATCTGTTCTGTTGTTTAGATACTGAAGACAAATTGCAGTATGAAAAGACTTCCAAGAATAATTTTACAACTATTTTCTAATTGTGGAAATAGTGCTAGAATGATAAAATTGTTTATTATCTTCTCTGAGAAGAATTAGAACTGACCAATTACACCATTTTAAACCCCTATCCCCAATTTTTGTTTAATATCTTAGATTTTTCCTCTTGAGGAAATCTAAAACTTTATTATATCTCATAAAAGCCTACCATCAAAAAAAAAGTAGAAACAGTTTGGGGTACTTTGTGCAGGATTAATGATTCTTGTCAATTTAATACTACCTGAAATGACTGAATCATAAGTAAAAAGTGAATTTAATGATGTACATTGTAATTAATCATAGATGTAAAAGAATTAGAGACTTTCTCTTTATCATACTCTGATAAACAATGGTTGGTATTTCACGAAATCTTCACAATAAAATTTTAATTTGAAATTTTAATTTTTAATAAAATCACACATTATGTTGTATTTTTTAAAATGTAGTAAATTGGGGATCAAAAAAAAAATCTTCTCTAAAAGTCAAATAAGGACATGTGTTCAAAAACAAAGCCTAGATGAAGCAAAGTAAACTAGAGGAGAAAACAGACAAAAAAATAAAATCCAAAATAAAGAGTAAAACTGAAAAATAAAGTTTAAAATAATTCTACCTAAAAAAGTGAACTGAAAGGAAAATATCCTCTCTGATTCACTGAGAATAAGATCATGGAGACCATTCTAGCTAAGTGATGTTGTACAATAAATAATGAGAGCTACCATCTCTCATATGCATCACTTATGGGCAAGGCCTTTTATAAACATGGTTGCTAATTTTCAAGGCAACTCTGCAATAGAAAATATTGTCTTTTTTTCACTTTAAAGAAGAATAAACTTTAGCTCAGAAAGGTTTAAAGACCTGTTTAGAGCCGCATACCTAATAAGTAGCCAAGCAAAATAATTCAACACAAAGGATTTTAAAATGATTGTTACTATCCCAAAGCTCATGAGTTTTTGAACTCTGCTTTCTGAGTTCTTGGATGAAAAGAGAGCAGTCCTTGGTGCTATTGGAGGAAACCAAGAATGTTAATAAAGATTTTGACTTAGAGATAGAAGGCACTGTGATCAGTCATGCATTTTATACCAGGAAGGTTATTATTTGCAAGACAGTCAACTGAGGACCCTTGGAAGGAGAATCAATAAGCAAGAGCAGCACCCCTCTCATGAGATGGGATTGTCCCTCATGAAGTCTCTTGTTGGTGCTAAGAACTGATCCTCTGGATCTACCTTTCCGAATGGAACCATGGGTGAAATAGCAACCCGTTAGCAAAAAGCAGGTTCTTAGCAATGTTTCCATAAGTATCTGAAGCCCTAAACCTTATTAGAATACCTTTTGTACCATACCTCTAACTATGTGGAAGAAATTTCTCAAAGCCAAAATTTCTCAAAATTTCTCGAAGCCTAGAGGTTTAGACAACACCCCCTCAAACCTTCCCAGCTTTCCCCAGGACTGAGGTAATCAGGATCTCAGCACTCCCAGAAGTTCATTCACAGCTCAGCCTTTGCGAGGCTCCACACAAAAGAAAAAAGAACTAGAAAGTAAGATAGAAAAATTGTAATGGGAATGGAAAATCAAGGTTTGGGAGGAGATGGAGGACACTAGACTTTCTGGGGAAGGGAGGAAGGCACAGAGAAAAAGGATAGACAGGAGCATGCGTAAGCCCCAAACAAACTGCTTACTCCTCAGTTTTGCTTACTTCAGGAAAATGGAACATTTAATGCCCTGGTAAGGAATCTGAGATAATGTATGTAAAGGACCTACCCATAAAATGCCAAGTTCATAATAGTCTTCTAAAATGATAGCTGTCATCATCATCATTATTATGTCTGAGCATCTGTAGGTTGTTATACATTGATGTTCTAGATGACCTTGTCATGCTCTGTCTCCTTTTAGGGCAAGCATTTTGAATTGCCTAAACTAATTTTTTTTCCTTTTTTTTTTTTTTTAAAGGAATTAATGGACAAAAAGGCCAGAAGGGAGAAAAAGGGAGTGGGAGCATGCAAAGTAAGTTTATAATTTCTTGTTTTTTTTCCTGTGCACCTTGGTAATAAACAAGCTTGTGACAGTGGTGGGCTGCTCTTGAGGTAAAGGTTGAGAACTTCAGTGTTGATCCATAGATGCTCTGAAAGTCAGCCACAGTTTTCTACAAGTAAACTGTGCTAATTGGAATAAAGCAAATAGATTAAATTACACAGCTCTAAATCTCATTACCCATTTGTATTTAGTTTTTGTGATGAGCGTAATTTTCTAAAAATTTCACACTGAAAATTGCTCAATTTTCAAGCCAATTTCAATCTGCTGAAGGAAAATCAAGCTTATGAGTAGAAACAATTACAGCCTCCTTACCTACTAACCGAAATAACCGAAATGTTACGTATAGGAATTTGCACAATCTAAGAACGCTGACAGACTAATTCTGTGACAGCTGGGGTTTTTTTGTGTTTTGTTTTGATAAAAACTTGACAAGTGATATTCAATATCCCAGACCTTCGAAACTGCAATAGCATAGATTTCACAACAGGACTCTCTGTGAATGGAATGGTGATCTTATATTCCAGTATAGAGAATCTGTAAATTGGACCTTGAAAACTAAATATTAGATGACTTATCTTTATAAGTCAACACTTGTATGTCTAGTCTGAACCTACCAGATATAATGAAAAAATTTTGAAAGTGAATGAGGAATTCACATTTGACTTCTCAGAAACCAATGTGTTCCTTCTCTGTGTTCGCACTAGGCGCTGCATGTAAGTGTATATGTGTGTGTACCTGTGAGAATAGGTGATACCCACAGAGATGATCTTAATCTTTACCCATCAGGAGCCTGATTGAGACAGATTTTGGCAAATCCTTTCATGGAACCATAGAAATCTAGCAGTTCTCCCTTGTAATTATTGTTTTAAAAATGCAGTACTAATTTTTCTGTCTTATTAAAAATAATTATTTTAACCTAATAATGTGTGTGGATGCCACATTTAGGCAACTTAGGGTCAGCATTGTGAATGCCAGCCATTGAAGTGTGGTGTAACCATATGATGCTTTCTACAGTCATTTCCATAACTGCTTCATTGTTGAACTCTGTGTGCCCTTAAATTGAGCAATACTGAGTACTGTTTATCCTCGGAGTGCTTTAATGTGAGTCAGTGATTATCAGTGTTGTTATTGTATTGAGGGCTTCTCAGGTGGCTCAGTGGTAAAGAATCCGCCTGCCAACGCAGTAGATTCAGGAGACACGGGTTTGATCCCTGAGTCGGAAAGATTCCCTGGAGAAGGAAATGGTAACCCACTCCAGTATTCTTGCCAAGATAATCCCATGGACAGAGGAGCCTGACAGGCTACAGTCCATGGATAGGAGTAAGTCTCCTTTGTGTCCATTTATTATTTGATGTGATCACTTTGATCAGCTGTTTACTTTTTATTCCATTTCTTCCCCTTTCCCCCATCACCCACTTATTTTCACTGAGCTCCTGTGTAATTCTTCTCTATCTGCATGTTTATCTCAAAATTTATCTCTTCCTTTGGTGGTAGTTTACTCACTAAGTCGTGTCTGACTCTTGCGACCCCAAGGACTGTGTAACCTGCCAGGCTCCTCTGTTCATGGGAATCTCCATCTTTGGTTCTTTATCTCCTTGTCTTTTCTTAAGACATTCTCTGAGTTTCTTAACCTTGACTCTGGCCAAGCTTGGCAATAAGGGAAACCTTTATTTTGCAGCCTGTTTAACCAAGCACTCACATTTTCTTTTGTTACCTGAGGCTTTCACATGCTTTGAACATTTTTTGTTTTCAGATGTATTCAGAAATGTTTTCAGTTACAGGTATTTTCATGGCTGTTTTGAAGTTTATGTGCTTGCTTTATTTGAAGAAGTGTTAAGAGGAATTTCCATGTATAAATGTGTGTGCATAGCCTCAAGATTCCTCTCCATGTATTCTCCCATGGAGAGTATATAATTCCATAATGTTTCAAAAACACACAAAGAATCATATCCAGAAATATCTACACAGTGTATTCTGTCTTCTTATTTAAGTTAGCGTACCAATCATCTGCCATGGCAATACTTATGGTACTTTTTTCTCTCTCATTGGCTATACACTGTTCCATTAATATAGTGCTGCCCTAATTAGCATAATATATCATTCAATTCCCTAATGATGAACACTTGATGATTTTTGTTTGCTTTAGCTTGGCTTCAAGAAACAATGCTACTTTCAGCACTCTCTTACATGATCTTTTGGGAATGTTTTTTAATAGAGAATTTGCTAGAAGTATAATCAATAATTCAAAGGTGACATGCATTTTACAATTTGGTGGATTCTTGCAAATGGCTCCTAAAAGGTTGCACCAATTTATTCTGTATGAAAGTGCCTTATTCCCCACATCTTCAATTAATTCTAATGTATAAAAATTGATGTTGAATTATTTTGCTATAATTTTAAAAAATATTTTTAAGTGTGATTTAAATATAATGAAAATAATAATTGACTTCCTATTTAATTTGCGGGGGGGGCGGTTACAGCTTTTTTTAAATTTAAGTTTTATTTGAATATAGTTGATTTGGTTTCCCATGTGGCACTAGTGGTAAAGAACCCACCTGCCATTGTAGGAGGCATAAGAGACTCGGGTTCAATCCCTAGATTGGGAAGATCCCCCGGAGTAGGGCATGGCAACCCACTCCAGTATTCTTGCCTGGAGAATCCCATGGACAGAGGAGCCTGGTGGGCTACAGTCTGTAGGGTCGTAGAGTTGGACACAACTGAAGCGACTTAGCACACACATATATAGTCAATTTATAGTGTTGTGTTAGTTTTTGCTATGCAGCAGAGTGAATCCACTCTTTTTTAGATTCTACTCCTTTATAGATCATTACAGAGTATTAAGTAGAATTCCTTGTGCTATACAGTAGGTCCTTGTTAGTTATCTATTTTACATTTAGTGTAGTGTAAATGAAAATCCCAATCTCCCAAGTTATCCCACCCCCCTTCCTCCTTGGTAACTGTTTTTTTTTTTCTGTATCCATGACTCTGTTTCCATTTTGCATGTAGGTTCATTTGTACCATTCTTTTAGATTCCACATATAATCAGCATCTTATGGTATTTGTCTTTTTGTGTCTGACTCACTTCATTTAGTATGACAATTTCCAGGTCCAACCATGTTGCTGCAAACAGCATTACTTCATTCTTTTTTAAGGCTGAGTAGTTTTCCACACCACATCTTCTTTATCCATTCCTCTGTTGATGGACATTTAGGTTGCTTCCATGTCCTGGCTACTGTAAATAGTACTGCAGTGAGCACTGTGGTACATGTGTCTTTTCCAATCATGGCTTTCTCTGGATGTATGCCCAGGAGTGGGAATGCCGAATCCTATGGTAGTTCTATTTTTAGTTTTTTGAGGAACCTCCATACTGTTCTTAGTAATGGCTATACCAATTCATATTCTCACCAACAGTGTGGGAGGGTTCTCTTTTCTCCACAGCCTTGCAAGCGTTTATCATTTGTAGATTTTTTAATGATGGCCATTCTGACCTGTGTGAGGTGATACCTCACTGTAGTTTTGATTTGCATTACTCTGGTAATTAGAGATGTTGAGCATCTTTTCATGTGTCTCTTGGCCATGTGTGTATCTTCTTTGAAGAAATGTTTATTTAGATCTTCCACCCATTTATTGATTGGGCTGTTTATTTCTTTGATATTGAGCCCCATGGGTTGTTTGTATATTTTGGAAATGAATCCCTTGTCGGTCACTTTGGAAATATTTTCTCCCATTATGTGGGTTGTCTTTTCATTCTGTTTATGATTTTCTTTGCTATGCCAAAGCCTATAAGCTTAATTAGCTCCTATTTGCTTATTTTTGTTTTTATTCTCAGTCTAGGAGGTAGGTCAAAAAAGACCTTGCTGTGATATTTGTCAGGGAGTGTTCTATGTTCTCCTCTAAGATTTTTATAGTATCTGGTTTTACATTTAGGCCTTTAATCCATGTTGCATTTATTTTTGTGTATGGTGCTGGAGCATGTTCTAATTTCATTCTTATTTCCTCTTTCATATATGTGTCAGGACCAGCATAACTCCCTGATCGTATTAGGGCAGGCCCCTTTGAAGATCAGGTGGGTTGGGCGGGACACCCCGTGCTGCTCTCATTAAAAGGCCCTTCATCTCTGGACAAGTCATCAGCACAACTGACTCCAGGATCCCCTTGTGGCTCCTCCAAACGACCTTGGTTCCCACGTGGTGGCAGCTTCCGCATGCCTTCCTCTCCTGGTCCTTTGGTGCTGTTGGGGCCTCTGCTCCGCTGCTCATACCTGTCCGCTCTCCAGTACCTCTCCATGACCACTGTCCCCGAGCTGGGATGCCTCCATGTATTGACTTGCAGACTGCTCTCTCCTACCCTCCTCAGAGCCAGGCCAAGGTCACTCTGCCACCTCTCATCTAGTGTCTCCTGAATCCGTTGGCTCCCAGGAGAAATCTCATGGTAACAGATTATATGTGAGTTCTTTACCTTCAAACGTATCAGTCTCAGCCAGAGATAGCGATGCCATAAAGATATCCATTTGTTTGTTCAGCATATGTTTACCATATACCTCCTGGAGCTAGACTTAACAGCTAATAAGATAGCTATTGTCTCTGGCCTTCCAGAACTAATTGTCCCTGAAAAACAGAGACATGGACACAAGCAGTTATACATTAGAGCAGGGCTAGATGGGGGAAGGAACTGGGCTCTGGGTGTTCAGAGGGGATCAAGAGTCTTCAATTCCTTAGAATTTTAAAAAGGTAAATTGACTTTGATTTGCTTAGTTTACCTTCTTGTCTTCTTATTCTCCAGTTTATGGCATATGTTTTTCAAGTTTTATCATGAAATCAAGTGGAACTGGGGCAGTTCCTTCAACATTTTTGAGCCAAAAAAATCAAAATTTGTTGCCTTAAATTATCTGGCTCTTTCAAGCAAGAATATTTTGATCATAAAAAAAATAATGCTGAAAAAAATGCTGAAATTGTTTTATTCTATAAAGC